TTTTGGAGCGACTGCGACGACACCATCTATACGGAAACCTCGAGAAAACGGAATGGTATCAACAGGAGGTAGAATTCCTGGGATTCATACTATCAGGAAAAGGGAACCGAGTATCACCCAAGAAGGTTCAGGCGATCGAAGGCTGGTTAGCCCCAACCAAAGTCAAGGAACTTCAGTGCTTCCTCGGATTCGCCAATTTCCTAAGACGGTTCATCCACCGATACTCTAAGGTTTGCAGACCCATGACCGATCTCCTGAAGAAAGGTTCCGTATGGAAATGGGGCAGGGAACAGCAAGATGCGTTCGACGAGCTCAAGAGGAGATTTACGTCTGCTCCAATACTCCGACACTATGACGAACACCGCGAAGCAATCGTGGAAACTGATGCGAGTGACTGGGCTGAGGCCGCAGTACTCTCTCAGGTGTTCGAGGACGGTATTCTATATCCGGTAGCTTACCACTCTCGCAAGTTCAATGAGGCAGAGGTTAACTATGAGATCTACGACAAGGAGATGCTCGCAATAGTTTCTGCCCTCTTGACTTGGAGACATTGGCTGGAAGGGACGGACATCCCTATCCAGATACATTCGGATCACCAAAACCTGCAGTATTTCACAACGACCAAGAAGTTGTCGAGAAGACAAGCCAGATGGGCCGAGAAGATAGCACCTTTTCGCTTCAAGATCCATTACCGACCAGGCGAAAAGAACGGCAAGCCAGATGCACTTACAAGGCGTCCGGAGTTCGCAATGGAAGGGGGAGTAATGCGTGAGCAGCCCGTAAAACAGCTACTCAGCGCAGAACAGTTTGTCAGAAAATCACGGACCAGCGTAGAAACTGGGTCCGAAGTGGTTGGCAACCCCGAAGAGGAATGGAATCAGTTGGATCAGTGGTACGACATACCGAGCGTAGAACTGCCTCAGCCACTACAGGGTTGGTATGAACAGGAAAGACGCTGGGTTCGGAGGACGGTTCCGGATGAACACCTCCCTGACTCAAACCTGGAGATCTTTGGACCACCGGAGGCTGCTATCGTAAAGTTAGAGCCTGCCGCTGAATGGAGTCCCGATTCGAATGACCCCACCCACGATGGTCGATGGGTAGTACCGGGCTACGCGGTCAAGCAGGTCATTGAGGAACATCATGATCGACCCGTAGCGGGGCATCTAGGAAGGGATAAAACCCTCGAGTTGATTGATAGGAACTACTGGTGGCCAGGAATGTCCACGGATGTAGCCAACTTCGTCAAGACTTGCGATGTATGCCAGAGAGCCAAGCAACGTCGGAGACACTTGTCACTCCCTCAACCCCTAGAGTTAGCCACCACACCTTGGACTGATATCTCGATGGATTTCGTAGTAGAAATGCCTAAGGAGAAATCAGGATTCCGCAACGTATTGGTAGTCGTGGACCGTTTTACGAAGATGGCTCACTTCATTCCAATGACGGGAATCAACGCGGAACAAACCGCCAACGCATTCGTCAAAGACATCTGGCGTTTCCACGGACTTCCTAGGAGCATCGTCTCAGACAGAGGAACGCAGTTCGTGTCAGCATTCTGGGCGGCAATTACGGACAGACTGGGGATTCGTAGAAGACTCTCCACCTCATTCCACCCCCAAACCGACGGCCAAACAGAGCGGACCAACCAACACATGGAAGGTTATATTCGGGCATATACGGCAGGAACAGGCAAGAAATGGAAGGACCTGTTACCCATCTGTGAATACGCCTACAACAATGCGAAGCATACGTCGACGGGGCAATCGCCGTTCTACTGCAATTATGGCTTCCACCCTCGAACGGATTGGCCTACGGATGCAGAGATCGAACGATTGGACGCCAACGGGAACAACTACTTGGATGAGATCATCACGGCTCATGAGTTAGCGAGAGACACGCTACAGAAGATCTTCGACAGGATGGCGTCAAAGCCAGGACCGGCAGTACAGCGGTTCACTATCGGTCAGAAAGTCTTGCTGGACACTCGGAACCTAGGAGGATACTCCAAGTGGTCAGACAAGTTCACAGGGCCATTTACAGTTTCAGCAGTGGTGGGCAATCGGGCTTACCGTCTCGAACTTCCGGTAGAATGGAAGGTTCACGACGTCTTTCACGAGATGCTGCTGCGACCCTATCGCGAGGACCCGGATCCCACCAGAAAACAAAATACACGAAAGCGACTGGCAACACCCGAGCCACAGGAGGCATTGGCAGACGAGAATTTCCAGCCAACCTCGAACATACGACCCCATACGCGAAGTCGAGGCCCAGCGATCGATAATGACCGGGCTCATAAACGACAACGGAACAGGCGAGACTAAGCTCGATACCTTTCCCTACTCTAGGACTTTTCCCACAGGGTTTTTTTATCATAGAAGGGTTTTAACGGTCGAGGGCGACGTCTAGGAAGGGGGAGTAGTGTTACGGGAACTACGGAGCACTGTTCTAGAGGCGTAGGACAATGAGGAATACGAGTGACGGGTTGTGATGCAAGGACGGTCGGGTAACGAAAGGACAAGCATAGAAAGGTATCGGGTAGTGTGGGAGCACGCGGTGTTACCACACTAGTGTTATACTATTATGACGGCACGCTTACTATTGGGTGTCTCACCCGGAATAGAATAGGAAGCGGGGCTTACGGCTGTAGGCTGTTCTACTTAGGGAAGTAGGTCTAGGATAATAGTATGGTACAGCCCGATGACTGGCAATTGCAAGGTTCATGGTTACGTGTCGGAATTAGAGTGGAGGACAGAACTATGCGGGGGCGCTTTTCTATCTGGGTTATCTTCGGGAGCATTGTCTTATTCTATTATCGTTGTATCAGTTAGTATTAGAAAGCGGGCCTTGGCATAGGTTCCAACATGTATAAATAGGGCTTGATTCTGCGAAGACTTGAGGGTATCATCAACCATCAAGTCAAGGGAATCCGGTTTACAATATCATCAGTTTAAACGCTACAGAATTATCGCTTAGCACTAGCCATTTTCCTTAACAGTACTCGGGTAATTATCGATCAGTGCTTTAGACTCCGTCACAATCGTCTTGACTAACAGTAATAAATCCTTGGTCAGCAAGAATCCCCTTCCGCTTCCCTGGTAATGGGGCGGTCCAAACCTTCATCCTCAAAACACTGCTCAGTAGCTAGAACAGCAACGGAAATTCACTCACGGTCAGAGGCACCTGGCACAGCGTGTCGCAGCTGAGCAGGCAGACATAACCCTTCGCATCTCTCATCCGTAGTATCTGGTAGTGTAGTCCTGACATTACACTCGTTCAACTAAGGAGACTAGTATGTATATTTGTGAGGAGAGAGTATCCAAAATATGGTGGGAAGAAAAACAGCAATATATTACGGACAGAAATATTGTTTTCATTACGGGCATCTTTGATTAATCTTTTGAATGTGCCACATTATGACAATATGAGAAATCTGACAGATAGACAAACTCTTATACTAGTGACACCAATGGGAGATTACAGTGATAGAAACCTTTAATTGCATGGGGGAGATGATGAGCCTGTGTGTTTTCCAGCTAGGTGGTGTCATGATGATACTTCGAAGCAAGTTGAAACATTTCACAACCAATTTGAAGGGGCACAAGTGTGTCTGGTTTCTACTACGCATGAAAATGTCAAACGCGGGCACGTCAAGCGATCTGGCATCCCAAAATGAGTCGATCATACCGGCTGGTATACTAATACTGCGCACCTGGCCTCTGAAATATGATGTAACAAATAACAAACACACCTGGCCTCGGCAAGTACGAATATGTGCCCCGCATATTCTTCATGCATCATCACTCGTTCACAACTCGTCATTCTGATCACCGAATGTCACTCGGGATCGTGGGTCATTACCTTTCTTAATTCTGAGCTTCCGAGGCCGGAAAACTTGCCGCATGTGCTAGCGCGTGTCTTCTCTACCCAGAATACACATCTCCACCGCCAACGTGACTGCCGCGCTCAAACCCCCACCCCACCCCAACTTCCCCGTCACCTTACACGTTTACTAATACTCCTATCAAAATATAATCAAACTTGCAAACTGGATAACAGCAAACTACTACGAGTGACTCGTCCCGAGGACATAGGGTGTCTATAATACTACAATTGAGTGAAGCATAGGATGACGGGAACTGGCCCGGGTTCCCCCCTGTTGAAACTTATCGAGAAGGCGGTGTTAGGTTCTTGTTGAATCGATGACATTGTCCACTAATACTATACTGGGCTTGGGTAGTTGCATGGGCGCGTTCATCGCGGCTGCGGACATAATAACGTGGTAGACCTAGGATCTGCTCGTACTTTCGCTTTATCTGCCCCTAGTTCCTACCCCATGAAAACCTATGCTATAGTGCTGGCCTCTGCGATCGATACGACGTACCGGTCATGTTTTGCACGATCTTTCCCCCCACCACTCCAGGTCTAGAAAGCTTAATCTCGACAGAATAGCTTTAGAAGCCATAGAGGTGGCTGTGCCAACCTTTCGCCCTATATGAGAGCCACATGTGATGAAGTTCTACGTTGGTTTAGATAATGACGCAAATCTTCAAGTTTTTCTCTGCGGGTTGTGCGGTGACCGATCAACTGAAGCTAAGGTTTACACACCTACACATAAAATACACCTTCCCGCGCTAGACCAGGTACTCTAGCCTTCGGTCCTTTGCCTAACAAAGTACACCTTGCATGACCGCCATTCATAAATACAAGCAAGCGGTGGACAAACGGGCTGTGTTCCCGGGTTCGGGCTGCATTCTGTCAAATATTTCGTTTTTCTGATGCTGTATTACAAAAGCACTAGCTGCGTAAAGATACCCCCCCCCCCCCAGAAAAATTCGGTGTTGATACTGCCACTCGAAAATCGCCAAGATTTCAAGCATCAGTAATCTCCATCAACCTGTTCCATACCCTCAACATCTCATTGGTGTACCAATAATACCCTAGACTTGCTGTATTGCAGTCCAGTATCGCAGCAGCGATCGATTTTTTGTCATCTCCTTTTATAGCCTCCCCCAATTGTCCCTAACATTCATTTCATCTCGCTTCAGAAATACGAATCCAAACCCCACAAGCCGTCTCTGGATGATGTTGCCAATCGCCTCCCACGAAATACCAGCTATAGCAACATCATCGGCAATCCCGCGGAGGATCACGACGAGCAATGCAATCTTCTCACTACCAAGAGCATCCCACTCAGCGGTTGTAATTTTGCCGACGCGCTCATTTATCACGAATTGCGCGGGTTTAGCGGTGGACTTTGGTTCGGGCGATGGTGCTGGTTTCGGGTCGGGGGCGCTAACAGAAGGCATTGGTCCATGGTAGGCTAGGTGAGCGAGAGTTTGAGCGCTCACGCGGGTTATTTCGGCGTTGATTTTGAGTGCTTCCAGTAGCTGTGAGCCTCGATCTTTGGGATCCGAAGAGCTTGAAGGAAGGTTTGGTGCGTTGACAGCTAGGTGGGCAATAGCTTGGGCGTTTACTCGGTTTGCTTCGGCGTTGATCTTGAGCGCTTCGAGTAGCAGCTGTGAGCTGGGGTCTTGGGAAGATATTACAGAGGTATTGGAGGTATTAGACATCTTGGGCGGAGAAAGATGACTGCTGTGCATAGGGACATGCATAAAGAAGACAGGAGGAGTTGAAACCTATGCCGTGATATCGGTTCCTCCTCCGCTTTTCACTATATAGCTCCAGGGTGGGATATTAATAGCTACATATACATACATGTCAAGTAACTGAGCTCAAAGAGGGAAGCTGCGAGCAATACATCGACCACCAACAGAAAGCGAACACGCAACTTAAAATACAGTCAACGATACATATTCTCTTAATTTATAAATAGATCATTCTATGGAATACATGCAACTATAGTATAGATGTATGTAGGTTCGCCTCCTGCTCGTCCTCCTCCAAACCTTCTCCAAGATCCTCGAGAAGATTGTCACCCTCCGCCTTGCATCCGTCGCCAAAGCAGTAGGCCTCATCCACCCCCACCAATGTGGATCGGTAGCCGGCCTCTCCACAGCAGACGCAGTCACCACCCTCCTCCATGAAACCAAAGCCATGCAACACGCCAAGCTGAAGGTCTCCACCCTATTCCTCGACATCAAGGGAGGCTTCGATAATGTTGTCAAGCACACCCTTGCAGCTACCCTCGCAGCCAAAGCCACCCCCCCATACATAATCAACTGGGTCCTATCGTTCCTCTCCGACAGGCATATCACCCTCCTCTACAAGGGTTCTCCAAGAATCCCAACCCCCGTCCAGGTCGGCGTCCCCCAAGGCTCCCCCATCTCACCCCTACTCTTTGTCATATACATGAACATCCTACATCTACACGACCCCTCCCCAGGGCTCACCTTATCCTACGTCGATGACTTCGCAATAACCGTGGGCTCCCCCAGCTACCAACAAAACATCCACATCCTCGAAGAACACTTCAAGGCGATCACAACCATCACGGCCGCCCAGAACACTACCTTCTCGATCCCCAAAACTGAGCTCATGCACTGGCGAACCCCCAAAGACAAAGCACCAGTCTGCACTCTCCCCATCACCCTCGACAATCAGATCTTCCACCCAAGCCACCAAGTCAGATGGGTCGGCTTCTGGCTGTCCCCCAACTTCAACCCTAATACCCATTTCATCCGCCGCCTAGCCTCCGCCCAAGCCAGCTTCGGAATCCTCCAGAGATTCTCCTCGGCCGGCAAGGGCCTCTCCTCATCTAATTGTAGGAAAATCGCCCTACTTGCTATTCGCCCGATGCTCACATACGGGGCGTCCGTCCTCACCCCCACCAGCTCCATCAAGGCCATGAATAAATTCTGGTACTCAGTGCTCAGATGGGCCACCGGCTGCTTCAGAGCAACCAATCGTCGGGTCCTCTGCGCAGAGGCCCACTGCCCCCCCTCATCAACTACATCCACTACCTGAAAACGAAGTTCGCCATCCGCGTTCTACTCGCCCACCCCCTCAACAACCCTGTGACAGGACGCTGCAACCCCTCTTTCCCTACCCTGACACCCGACAGGGTCCCCTCCCACACCCGCCTCCTACGCGGCCGCCCCAACCCACCTAAGAAGTGGAACTCGTCAGCAACAAAAGGAGTAAACTACCTCCCCATTGAACATCTCTGTTCCCTTCTCCGACATCCAATCGCAAGAGGAACCAACCACAAGCTTCTCCCAAAACAAGCAAAAGACCAGATGCTAAGCAACTGGGCCAACGACTTCCCAACCCCCCCCTACTACTCCTACCCTCTCACCACAAGCCCTGAACACTTCATGGACCTACACAAATTCACGGCCACCCGAATCCACCAGATGAGAGCCCAAAAAAGCTACCTAAGAGGCCACAAATCATGGCTCAACCTCCACCTCTCCGACACATGCGACAGATGTGGCGAGGGCCCCGAAACCACCGAACACGCTATCCTCACATGCCGAACAAAAGCAACCCAACGCTCCCAATTCCTCACAGGGATAAACACCCTCGAGGAGATCTGGAATAACCACGCAAACACTCTGGCTCTAGCAGCCTTCATCACCGCCACCAAGACGAATTACCCCAGAAAGGAGCACATCTCCCCACTACTCTCCGGATCGGAGACGTCAAGCTCCCTCAGCTCCCCCCCCTCCACCACCTAGCCACCGCAAACCCCTCCCCACCACCACCATAAGGGGGAACACCGCACACCCAAGACCCTCAAAAGGGCAACAGGTTATTTAAAACCAGCAGGAAGAATTTCTTATGTCGGATATGGACCGCCAAAGTTCGTTATTTCCTAGCCATTAGTTAACCAGTACGAGTACGCAGTAACTTTTCCTTACTTTTCCTTTGTTCATCTGGGGTTGTGATATTTGTTGTTTGCCGGGGAGAGGTATTTTTATGCCATAGTCTTTGACTGCATGCAGAGTTTTGTACCTAGAATCAATTAAAACTACATGATTTAAAAAAAAAAAAAAAAGGTTCGCCTCCTGCGCTGGTAATTAATAAGCGCTTCCAGGAGTATCTAGGCGATACATGTGTAAGGTACCGGGTGTTGAGGGTAAGTGATCAGAATCTGATAAGTGAATGTTACGGTGAATAGGTGTATTTGTCTTATCAGATTCTGATCACTTTTCGCTACACCCTAGTACACACACCGAGAGGAATATGCACTTACGGCTAGCAACCTAAAGTGCAGTAAAGTTGGTGCGGGGTACATGTAGTTGTCACTAGGCTGCCATCGCTTGGTTGCCTGAATTGAATCTTGGTTGCCTAAATTGAATACTATTAATTCGCGTCTCCACCACTAAGTCCTTCGTAACTAGCTCCTTCAGGCCCTAGCTAGACCTTCTCTATCCTGATCTTATACGACCGTTTTAATTTTATCTTCTCTACGCGTAGAAACGAAAGGAAGCTACCTTTATTACCCTTCTCCGACGGTATCAACCCTGAAACCTACAGCCAACCCCCCTACACGAATTCTGCGTCTCGATCTCACGTCTCTTTATTTCTAATTATAATAAACACGCTTTCATTTCTACGAGATGGGTGGCGGTGGCTCTGTAAGGACCTTCATTCATGACCGCCGGCTTCCCTAGGAACCCCATCCGCTAACAAATAGCAGAAACATGAAGACGAGGCGAGACGTCAAAGAGAGGAGAACGCAAAGCTACAGGCCGAGATTCAGAAACTAAAGGAAAAACAGCAGAGGTTGAATGACGAGAAGCGTGACCTTGAATTGAAGAGCACGAAAGCAGAAAAGGCAGAAAAGGAAGCGGAACTACGAAGAATAAACGAAGAGCTGGAGCAGACCAAGAAGAACCAGCAGATGATGGAGGATCTTCGCAAGTCCCAGGAGGAGAAGAGAAGGCTGGAAGAAAAAATTAAGCTGGACAACTTCGCGAGGAAGATCGAAGAGGCCGCGAGATCACGAGTTGAGCAAGAAGTGTGGTTGCGACAGGAGGCCGAGAAGAACCTTGAGGAAGGAATCCCACCAATTAAATACCCTACCGGCGACCAAATCGCGGAAAAGAGAGCAAGTCTTGGATACCAGGAAGGCTTTCTACACATTGCTATCACTGGTTGCTCTGGATCGGGCAAGTCATCGTTGATAAACGCTGTCCGCGGCTTTAAAAACCCCAAAACTGGTTTGGCTGCTTTTACTAGTCTTTCTAATTTTAAAGACGCAATCATCAACACCCTCTCTCCAAATCTTGCCCAAACTGGAACCAGTGAAACAACCACGAAGATCCAACGATACGCCGACCCGCATCACGCACGAAGAAACCTGGCTTGGTATGACGTCCCTGGGGCTGGTACAATCCGTGTGCGAGATTGGCAGTATTTCAACGATCAAGGCTTGTATATCTTCGATATCATCATGATTGCTGTCGGCGACCGTATTACCAAGACGGACATAGACCTTCTATTCCATTGCAAGCGATTCGGCATTCCCACCTTCTTTGTACGATCCAAAGCAGATCAACACATAAGGAATGACATGGCGGAGGACGATGAGGCCGATGAGAATGAAGTTCGTACTGGATATATCGAACTCACCCGCGCCGTGTTCAACAGCATTTTAACCGACGTCGGGCTACCACCACAAAAGATTTATATTGTTAGTAGAGATATTCTTCGATTGCTCAACGACGGCAAAGGATCTAAACCAAAAGTCATTATCGATGAAGAGGAGCTCATTAGAGATATTACCGATACACTTCACAAGTGGTCAGCCCCGGCCCCCGCCGACGCATAGAGTGCAGAAGGAACCTTGGGCTTGGATTCCTATTATTATATTCATTTTCTCTTTCTGTTCTTTTCTTTGGGTGCGCGATGATTGAGATAGCTGAGGCAGGCACGTTTGGGGCCTATTGAGGCAATATTGTGGGATAACGGATGGTGGTAGTTGGTCGAGCTTTGGGAAATCAGACTGCGTTTACATCTTAGGCCAACTGAGTCAGTTCCTTTTATATTTCGTTTTTATTTTTATTTTTACTAGCCGTGGTAGAACCTAGTTTAAGAATTGATCAGTGAACTTTACACCGCTAATTAACGTCATGATATTATACTTGGACAAGATAGAACCCGTTGAACCCGGAGATGAATGTTGCTATTGAATAATCACCTCCGAAAAATCCCATTGACCCTAAGTTCCAGGATTCACCCTAAATGATATGGTAGACAAACCGCTTATTGTAGGAGGTGTCTAGGAAGAAGTATCGATGATAATTGCACTAGAAGGTTCGGAGCGAACCTCCACTCAAGTAGTCTTCTAGCGTATCCTAATGACTACACGTCTCCTCCACCACGACACCCGTAACTTCTATTGTAAACAATATCGCTATCGCCACCTAACGGCTGCCTACACTTATATACAGATATTCCCGACCTTAATAAATACCTCTAAAAATATTACCACCCTATGCATCTAAAGTATTAACCCTTACTTCCGGCCAGCCCCGGAGGACATGAAGACGCCTATATGCTTTCTTCCATCCCTACCCACAAAGACTCCGTACCCATACCGCGCCCCCGTCTTCTTCAACTCCTCCATGCGCACCCGCGGAGTATCACCCCTCACCCCACCACACACCTCCTTTGCATCACTAGCATACAGCAACGACCACATCGCCGCCAAGTTTTCCGGCGCGTGCGCCACAGAATCCGAAGGCCGCGGGCCCCAATAGAGGAGGAGGATAATCGCCGTGGCGTACACAACTATCGCAATGCTAATGATGATCATTGTCGCACTCACCGATACCCGTTGCTGGAGTGCCTTTGTGAGTACTGTTATAGTCTGTGGGTTTGTGGCGAACTGCATCACATCAGACGCGTACAGACGCAGGTTGATCGCGTAGAGGCGTCGGTAGATATCCTCGAAGGCGCCCGGAAGGATGTCGGTGTTGGGGATGTGGGTGATATTTGGGCTTACATCGCGAACGACCTGAGGGTATAGGGTGGTCAGGTGATAGTTGAACCAGTCCAACGGTTGAAGCTGCAAATCATAGGCTTCGTAGGTTCCTTGAGCGGTGGAGCTGATAAACGTCCGCACCAGCTCACCGGACCCATGCGGATAGAACCTTTTTAGTTCCTCCGGGGAGTCAATGGGGACTATGTCTTGAACGTTTGTAATATTCCCCTTCGAGTCGACGGTAGCTGCCAAGCGGACGATTTTCTCCGAGCTCGTGCAGCGGATGATCGCACTATCGAGTTGCGGCAGATAACTCAGAGACATATTCTTTGCGCCATGCTCGCGGTCTGCCGGCTGCTCGGCCCATGCAACAAAGAATGTGTCGGAGCACTGTGGGTTGTAGGCAAAGTAGTCGCCGGCTGGGATCGACCACACCATGGTTTCATTACTTGGGATTACTTCACCGCCGGTACGGTTCTTGATCTGCGGCCAGCAAGAATCCTTGACGGACAGTGTTGCCGAATACGAGGGGCCCGGCTTGGACCAGTATGTGGGACATTTGGTTTTATAGGCTCTGGAATTGACATAGCAGAACGAATCGACATCCGAGCTAGGAACGAGATCACATGAGATTGATGCTCCAATCCCAAGAGTATCTGCCGACGCCGTCTGGAGACCGTTCATAGGTGGGAGCGGAAACGGCAAGATATAAAACTCGGTTGTAGTCCAGTTGGGCTGAGGGATTTCACCGGAAAGATTGCTCGATAGGATGTAATGCATCTCAAGTGCCGGGAGTGAGTCGAAGCCCCGTGTGAACTGGGGCTCGCCATAATAGTTAGGGACGGAGTAGGAGATGGTGGACAGGACATTCATCGGAGAGAACAGCGCAGAAAGGGCAACAGTAAGGATATTGGCGAGAAAGATAGCAATGATGAGGCCTCCAAGCATAAAATCACGGGCAATTACAGAACGTATTATCTGGAGCTGGGGTGGAGAGGTGTCGTAGTCGATAGCGAGAGAGCTCTCACTACTCGAATGCCCGCGATGGAGGGGCCGATACGGGCCCAGCATGCAATGATAGCTGCCGAGCGTGACAAGAATCGGTTCAACCAGGTGCGCTAGAAGCGTCGGGAAATATGCAAAGAGCACCTTGTACCCGAACGTGCCGGGCGAGGAAGGCGACGGGATGCCTAGGAACGGGGTTAGCAGACTCCATGCCGGAAACGATTTATGGGTTATTCCAAGTCTAGGGGGATGATCTTGTAGGCGGGTGTGATATGCTAAAGCATGTCCATATTTCGTCCATTATGTCCATCCCCATCGGGGAATCTTGTGCTCACCTTCTCTAATCTCATCATATACGTAGAGCACAATCATAGTCACCAGCATCAGGAAAAAGAATGTGGCGAAGAGCGCCCCCGTGGTTGTGTTTTCAAGCCACCGCTTGCTCTTCTCAGTGCCCTTGCCCTCAAGTACCTCATCCGGCTCCTCCATCAATATCTTTACCGGAATACCATCCTCGTTTTTGACTTTCAGAACATCAATCCTCGGGCCAACCCCAGGCTCCAGGCCAAGCCGGTACCTAAAGCCACTCCGCACCAACACTCGCGTCACAACGCTCATTGGATTGAACTCCGAACTTTCCAGCTGTTTTGCGAGCTCCGGGCTCCTCTGCAGAATGCCCAGTGCGCTCGCCAAACTATTCGGCTCCCCGTCCAGGACGCAGCGTCGTTCCCAAAGAAGGACGATCATTACGATCGTCAAGGCGATGAGCGCCGCAAATGCGGCCTGTACACCGCGGCACCAATTCTCGTTCATACGAAAGCCCCGCGTCTTCACCTCCCTTGTAATCGTGGCGGGGACGTCCTCTGCAAGTGTATTAAGCCATTCGTCCCTGCACAGCATCGCAAACTGGAGCTTGAGCGCGCGGCGATACATGTCTGCGAGATTCTGAGGATCAAACAGGCCATCCAGAGTCTCGTTGTGCTGAGTGTTAAATGCAAACGCCGGGAACCCTCACGCCGGCTCCCCAAAGTACTTTGGCTGCACGCGCGGGACGTCCACGCTGCCGCCGAAGCGCCGCAGCACTTGACCAAGGTTGTCGGGCTGCGTCGGGGGGAGGTACCCGAACCCCACGAGACTGTAGAAATAGTCCCTATAGGCTGTCAAATTTACATTACCGCCAGTATTGCCAACGTGCAAGTCGCCATAAAAGCTCCCAAGACGCGATCGGTCCACCTGTTCTACGAGAACACGGTCCGCAGTTTGCGACACGTTCAGGATGACTCCAGAGGGCATAAGCACAGTAGCGTTGACGGGCTGCGAGTAGAACCGCGGCCGACAATAGATCACCGTCAAGCCCCGCGAGCCAGACCCAGACACCCGCGTGCTGTTCCAGTCCCGGGGCAGTGCGGACGTCCAGATGTAGAGCCTCGATTCCATAAATTCCTCATACTTGTCGCGGTCGCTGTACTCATAGTACCTGTTGGGCATGACCGCGAGGCTATAGTGTGCCGCGCCGCTGGCAAACATGTCCTGTGAAAGTTTGTAAGCAAAGGTGCTAAAGCCGGGGACCACGTCCTCGAGCCGGCTCATTAAATCTGTGTCATTTGTGTCGGCCACACCAGGCACCCAGAGGACAGCGCCCACAGCGCCGTTGGGGGACGTGAGGTTATAACCGATTGTGCCAACACCCTCCACAACGACCGGCGTCTTTACCGCTGCCTCGCATTCGAGGTCAGCTTCGTAGCGGAAGGATGGGCCTATCCACACCTGGTCGGGTTTGGCAGAGCCGGTGTCATTGCGCTTGGTCACGCTGCTGTTAAAGTCAACCTCAGCCCAGGGCGCCAGCGCGTACTCGGGCTTGGTAAATGGCGGAAGAGAGCCATTCAGCCAGGCATGGCCATAGGCAAGGTATGTATATCGCGGGGAGAACGCAGCGCTCGAGTAGTTGGCGGAGGTATTTCTCCACTGCAGGGCGGCGAATGTCGTGTTGTGTGCTATTTCGTGTGATAGGTCACTGTCGTCGAAAAGGCCAGCCGTCATCGGGATAAGGACAAGGCTGGTGAGGAGAAGTATACATGATCCAGTCAAGACCGAATAGTGACTACATGAGCGGGGCCAAGTTAGCTTTCGCCGATTGATGGCTCTGCCCAAGGTTTCAGAGAAAGGGGGTCAATCAGAACCTAGTGGAACTTTGATATTGAGCAAGGTCACGGGAAATGCATACCGTCGCTTTACCGCCTCGAACGGAACAAACAGTGGGAAGAGATATGGATAGTCCAGCAGCAACGAGTCCTTGGCTGTCGCGCCCTCCTCGCGGCTCATCTGGAACCACGGTTCCATGCGCATAGAATCATGATGCAGGACTGCGACCAGGAAACCAAAGAACAGCGACACGATTGTTGGCAGGTAGTTGTAGACAAAGTTCGTTGCCACCGAGAGATACAAGGAGCCGTCGTCGCCGCTGCTGGAGTCGGGTTTACCGGGGACGCGGCAGCCATCGGGCTGACATGACCGAAGGATGAGCTCGAGAGCAACGATGAACAGAGTGCAGACGAGGGAAAACGTGAGGAGATAGGGAAGACGGAGAGGCCAAGGGCGCCATTGACCCACTACCGCAGTCGGGGTGCGGGGAACGAGAGAATATTTTATTCGAGAGCGCATCCTAAAGTACATAAGGCGTTATATATCTATCGAGGGAATGCCTTTCCTTTAGTATGTAGTCCACCACCGCCTGGGGGATCTGCAGGGCTTTGACATGGACAGCTATCATCGCTAGGGCTCTGGCTCTGGAGGCAGTATTGTCCAATCGATGGCCGCGGAGTAGACTAGGCTGACCATGTAATATGGCACTGGGAATGTTGGCGGTGGGGGTGTTTCAGGGCTGGCTATGGTGGTTCGTTGTTGATTGAGGCTCAAGTAAGCACAAAATCTAGCTTGGCGTAGCCCTACACAAGGCGCGAGTGAGTCCATATGATATCACCCTGTGAACTCAACCGCAACTGAACCCAACCAAGGTATTAAGAGAGCTCTTTCCAAGAAATGAGATGTGCGCCCGCCAACTGCGGGTAGAAAAGTGTCAAGATCTGCTGCCAGTAAAAGACTGTCACCCACTGGTATGGGTCTCTGTCAGTACAATCATATCATATAAATGGCAGTTAGAAGCTTGCTTGATGGGGGGTTCGTCGTTGTGGAGCAGGCGAATCCCGCATCCAAAAATTCCATCCATGTACTGCTTTTATCCTACGGTCGGTAGGGCTTACTCGGATTTAGGAGTTAATTGCACGTGCTATTGTATCTTTTGTATTGCGCCCATTAAGCATGAGTATCCACCATAAATAGGTCAATTTCCATTCAGGTCAATTTCCATTCAGGGCAAAAATACACCTATGAAGCCAAGACAACAGCAAAAAGGAGTAGAAATGAATTAATGGTGCACAAACGCAGCCAGCCAGCAACCGATCCAGGACAGAGCTAGCTAGTCACCCACATATCGGGGGAGCTTCTAGCTCGTAAACTCAGACAAGACTCCAGCACGGTGGTCAAAGAAATAAAACGGTCACGAATAGCCACCACACTGATGCACCAGGGGAGGAGGACCTGGCTACCTACAGGACGAGAACATTTAACAATACAACACAGTGCAACTCGAACATATATATATGAAAACACCAGCATCTCAGGGTTGGGGTTGAACCTCTATACATCAGGCTGTCCCCAGCCAGCCACATGCACTACTTGTGATAACGCCCCCAGCTAGCTAGCTTCAGCGCACAAAAGAAACACTCCAACCAGAGTTTATTCACTATACTAGTTAGTTATAGAACTATGTACCTACCCAATTAATGAATTGCACACATCACGCCCCTCCGCCTCCCCCTCCGTATCACACGACATAGGAATCACCATCCGCGCCGCCGCCGTCAGTTTCGCGGGCTCCAGCAGCTGCTCGAACGTGCGTGTGCTTGGGTAGTTATCGATCAGTTCTTTCGACTCTGTCAACATTGTCTAAACAGACAGACAGTAGCAACCTCTAGTTAGCATCCTATTCCGCTTCCCCGGTGATAGCAGTAGAATAATGGGCAAACAGACCTTCATCCTCAAAACGCTGCTCAGGAGCTGGAACAGCAGTGGCAATTCACTCGCCGTCTGGGGCACCTGGCACAGCGTGTCACAGCTGAGCAGGCAGACATAGCCCTGCGCATAGCTCATCCTCAGCACCTGGCAGTGCAGCCCTGCACACACACACACAATCAGCCACCCATCCATACCCTCAACCCCTCCAAAGTCCCGAATACTCACCCGCACTCACCACCCCCGCCAACCTCAACCTCCCCAACGCCTCCACATCCCCGCCCACCTCTGCCTGCAGACTATACATCATATCATGCAGCGCCTTCGCCACCTTCGCATAGTCATTCAGCCACTTTGTGTTCCTCTCGCTCACAAACGCCCTCGACCCCTCCATGGCCGCATACTCGTACCTCCCGCCGCCGTCCTGCACCAGCCCGTCGAACCGCGCGCCAATCTTCTGCCGCTTCGCCGTGTCGTCGCGGTGCCGGTTCTTGCGGCGCGCCCCCGCGAGGATGGGAAGCTCCCGCCGCCGCGTGTTGAGCCCGCGGATCTCGTCGAGGAGCGTGTCGATGATGATGCCCCAGAGGCGGATGTCGTACCAGCACTCGTCGTTCCTGCCGAGCAGGGGCTGGTCCGGGTTCTCAAACAGCGGGAGTCTACGGGGGATTCAGCGCGCGTCAACCACGACATGCGGCGGCGGTGGGGAATGGGAAACATACAGCATGGTGATGACCATGTGGATCCAGTAGCGGTCATAGTGCTTTTCCCGATCATACTTCTCACCCTCAGGCAAATACTTCGCCTCCGCCAGCCTCTCGCGCAGCCCCGCCGCCGTCCGCACATTCATAAACCCCTTCATAAACTCCACCGCCTCTCCCCCCACCACCGGCCACTCCGGCACCCTCTCCAGGATCGCCCTCCAGTCCGACGGCTCAAACAGCGCCTCCACTTTTTGATTCTTGACGTCGAGCACGAACGAGTGCGCCAGACACTCGCGGTCCGCGGTCTTCAGCTTCCCGTAGAGGATCGTCTCGACGAACGACCCGCTGGGGAGCTGCCACATGTACTGTTCCTCCATCTTGTTGTACATCTGCACGAACGAGGACGGACTCCACGAGCCTGGCTGGGATTCGCCGGCGTCAGAGTCACTCACATCACCCCGCGTCCTCTTTCCCTTGCCCTTCACCTTGCCCTTCACCTTCGTCTTCGCCCCCGCCCTCCCCCCCTTCCCCCTCCGCGCCCGCGGTTCCCCCCCAATACTAACCACCGCCCCCTCCCCGATCGCCACCTGCGAATTACTAATCACCATCCCCGGCGCCCCCGCCTCCGCCCTCCTCTCCCTCGGCACCCCGCCCCTATTCCTCTCCCGCCACTCCCTCGCCCTCTGTCGGTCATCGCCCTACACGCACCGTTACAGCAATCACTACCGGCATTTCCGCCTCGCACACCACGCGCATGCAGGAGCCAGGACGCCAGGCTGGCAAGCAGCCTTAATACAGCGGCGGACCAAGCAGGTCACCGCATACCCCAGCGCCCCCACATCCCTGCCCGACCGACCGTGGACAGGCGGGTTATCTAGCCGACCCCGCCAGGCACACACACGACCGACCGACTGAGAAGGTCCGTCGTCCTGCACAGGCGGGGGAACCAGCACTGGGTGGGCAAGCAGCCTTGATACGCGGCGGACCAAGCAGGTCACCACATACCCCAATGCCGGACCGAGTCACGTACACAGTACAGACCCAGATCAGCGACCCCCATATGCGTCCAGTCAGTGTCCGGGCAAGAACCGGCACGGATGCAAATCCATGCCGTTGACCCCCCGCATGCGCGCCATTCACCTCACTCCCTAGGGGACGGGGGCGCGTAACATACCTGTCTGTAGCTCTTGAGCAGCTCCTGTGCTCTGCGCCACCTGTCGGGGTCGGTTGTGGTGGAGACGGCCTCGAGGTTCTTGGTGTACGAGTCTGTGGCGCGGTCGAAGACGGCGTCGGAGATGTGGGCGTCGGCGAGGGTGTAGTCGAGGTAGTCGGCCACGTCCCAGAGGGAGTGGTGGAAGGCGTCGAGGTATGCGGGGCGCGGGGGCGGCGGGGGTGAGGGCGTGACTGTGTCCGTGACTGTGGCCGAGGCGGGGGGTGGCGGTGGTGGTGGTGGTGGAGGTGGAGGTGGAGGTGGAGGCGGTGGAGGCGGTGGCGGGGGGCGGAAGGGGGAAGTTGTGCTGGTGCCCGTGTCTGTGTTTGTCATGATGGGAGCTGCGGTGTGTGGGCGGAGATGTCGTGATGGTGTTGAGGTTGGTGTTGAGATTGAGGTTGAAATGACGAGGGGTGGGAAGCGAGGGCGATGAATCAACTATTAGTAAGCGATGCGCCAAGCCCCACCGAAGCGAGAACTACTAAGCGAATTGCCAAGTTTAGACTCTTGGCGCCAAGTAATCATTAGCGAGTTCTGTCAATGATTACACTCTCCACTTTTCCGCAGCCACAATTGCAACAGAGCATACTTTTTTAGTTGCCGGATGTTTTATTCTGTCCAACTCGTTTACTCCAAGCCTGGTAGCCCCAGTCGAAGAAATAAATAATAGGCAAGATGCGAAACAACAGCCCTTCGGAACACCTCCTTCGACAAGGGGTAAAACGAACGTTGTTCGGGCACGATAAGAAGATCCAGCAGGCTACATGTTACTACATGCACACCTACTCGTGGGCTACAGGCCTGTTTTCTTTGCGCCTTCCAATTCCAATAACCGTAAACAATCATTGGGAGAGAAGGGGGAACGTACCCCTCCAGCCCCAGCCCCAACAAAACACACGTACACGCAAACAAAACCCCCCTCTCGATAGCGATCCATTACGTACGGAGAGGCCCCTCCCGTCAGGTCATAACATTAATCCCCATCTCCGGCCCCTGCCAACCGGCGTTACTAGTATTGATGATGAGAGGGTAGTAACATATGTTGAAACAGTTTCTATCGAGAAGAGAAGGAGGACGGTGGCTGTATCTGACCGATCTACCAAACGCAGTAAGAGGGGCCATGTCCTTTATTTACAGCACGACAAGAGAAAAACGTTCAATCCGTGTATGACGGCCAAACTCCAGTCACAAAAGGAGCACTTCACAAGGACACGATCGATCGATCAGCACGACACAAACACAGCGAAAAAGACAAAACAAAGCAAAGCTGTCAAAAAAAACAAAAAAAAGAACACATACCTACTAGCCGTAATTTCAGAACCGCATTCTTCATGCCGGTACAAGCATACTTCTCCCACCACCCACGCCCCGGAAACTGACGTTCAAACAGCCCCAAATCGCAACCATGGCCACTATTAATTGGGATCCGGCAGGTTTTTGAGCCACTCAACGCGTACGGACACAACTCCAGCGACGCCACCCCACCCCCTCCCCCCTCGTATTCTGTAACGGGCCTGCCCGGATATCCACGAAACCATACGCCCCAATTAATCTTTACCCAACATCACCAAACCAAACACCCTCCACCAGCCCTGTCTAATCCCAATCCGCACCACCCAAAACACAACTATGGGGGAGCACGGTTAATTCCAGTGCTGCCAGTTCTCCCAGCCCGATTGGTGTGAAGAAACCAACGATTACACCCGAGTAGACTTTCTGCTGCTCTCTAGATCTAACTAATCTGCTCGCGCTTCTTCGCCAAGAATTCTCTCGTGACCGGGGGAATCAAGGTATTTGGCTAGTTAAAACACCGAAATCCCTTACCTCACCGAGTCAGGTGAAAATTCTTGGCAAAGAAGCGCGAGTAGTCAACTCACTCGGCCGCCCTTCCACACGCCTCAAATCGAACCCATGGTTGATCAATTAATGGCAGTAGTACAAAGCCACATTACCTATCCGATTATCTTCACCGCCTGCAGCATCATACCTCCTGACTTTGAAACCAAAATCCCCCCTTCTCCAAGTCTACAAAACAGGGGAAAGTCATCATCTCCCGGTCCATTCTCACGCCTTGACCGCCTCTAATCGATTCGGCGCGAATGACAATACTCATGGTTACAATTCAAAACGCCAACCCCCATCGAGTCTGATTTATTGGTTTCCGCGGGTGGTATGACACTCGGTGGTCTCCACTATCCGAGTCTAATCACTGTATATCACTCTCTCTCGAATGGAGCTGAGTCATCATGCATCACTCGCTGTCACTCGTGGCCGTGCCACTGCCGAGTGAGTCACTGTGTCTCACCACGGACGTTCCTGTTTGTTTGTTTGTTTGTTTAATTCATTGATTGCATGCGACCTTACAGTTATAGTAATATTGTACAAGCCCCTGAACCTCCCATCTGCCACGGATGTTCCTATTCTTTGGGTGCCGTTGTATCCTTCTCTCTCAAGTTAAGGAGAACAACTAACTGCCGCAATGATCTTTCGCATTTATTGCAAATGGTTTAATTGGTTTTCTCTATGTATATAAACCGGGTGGTATGCCGCTATATACAAGTATTGAGTTGTTCTCTACAGCTTGTAGGTGGTAATCACATGGAATGCACCTGCTCGTCTTGATACAAAACTACATCTATTCGCAATAACCCTTCACATTAAAAACACCCACATCTCATCATCCCCAACATTCACCATGGCTGTATGTATATATAAACAAAAGCAACCTCTCCATAGCCCCTCCCTCCCCCGCTCTACACCGCCGTCAACACAACATCATCCAAATACAAATCCTTATTACTCCCCGCCGGCGCCGACCCCGTACACACCACCCTCACCATCAGGGTCACCGTCGTCTGCGCCGCCCCCGCTTTCCACGCTGCCGCCGTCGCCTGCTGCCACGCCGGGGTCCCCGCAGCTTTCGCCGCCACCGCCGTTCCGCCCAACAAATACGTGACCGCGCACGCGGTCGCCGAGACCGGCACCTGCGACCACGCGCTAAAGCTGTACGTGGTCCCCGCGCACACCGTGAGCGTCTGCGTGAGCTCGATGGTGCTGCTCGCGGGCGCGGTGCGCGGGAGACGCAAGAGCATGGAGCGCGTGCCGCTCTTGTAGACGCCGGTGACGAGGGTCATGCTGCCGAGGGCACTGGAGCCGGAGCCGACGCCCCAGGCGGTGGAGGAGGTGTCTTCGAAGCTGGGGTTCTGGACGGGGGTGGGGTAGGCGCAGGCGGGGGCGGCGGTGGTGGTGGGTGCTGGGGCATCAGGCGACGATACAGTCTGCGTGATTGTAACCGCAGGCTCCGTGATTGTCACCGCGGGCTGTGTGATGGTAACTGCGGGCTCTGTTACCGTTACTGCGGCCTCCGTGACTGTTACTGGCGGCTGTGCAGCGCCAGGCACTGTGACTGTGATCGCCGGCTCAGTAACCGTTACTGGCGACTCGGTAACCGTCACTGCAGGTTCCGTCACCGTTACGGCCGCTTGGGTGATGGTCACTACCGGCTCTGTGACTGTTACTGCAGGCTCAGTGAGTGTCACCGCGGGCTGTGTAATTGTTTCTGCAGGCTGTGTCAGTGTCACTGCGGGTTCGGTAATTGTTACCGCCGCCTCTGTGACCGTTACCGGTGGCTGGGTGACCGTCACTGCTGCCTCGGTGATCGTCTCAGCGGGCTGGGTGACAGTAATCGCCGGTTCTGTAACTGTTACTGCAGCCTGTGTAATCGTTACTGTCTCTGTCACTGTCACCGCGGGCTGCGTAATTGTCTCTGCGGCCTGTGTAATTGTTACTGCAGGCTCTGTGACCGTCGCTGCCGCCTGTGTAATTGTTTCCGCCGGCTGAGCCACGGTAACTGCAGGCTCTGTAACCGTCACTGCTGCCTGTGTGATTGTCTCTGCGGGCTGAGTGACGATGATTGCGGGCTCTGTAACCGTCACTGCAGCTTCTGTGATTGTGACCGCCGCCTCTGTAACTGTGGCTGCTGGCTGTGTGATTGTGACCGCTGCTTCCGTAACTGTTACCGCAGCCTGCGTAATCGTTTCCGCAGGCTTTGTGATTGTGACTACTGCGGCCTCGGTAATTGTTACAGCCGCCTCCGTCACCGTCACTGCCATCTCACTCGTGACCGTCACCAGCGCGCCCGGAACGGTGACCGCCTCTGTCACTGTCACTGCCGGCTTTGTGACCGTCACCGCCGAGCCAGTGACCGTAACAGCCGGCTTTGTAACTGTGACCGCAGGCTTCGTAACCGTCGACGCAGGCCCCGTAACCGTAACCGTCACCACGCGCCCCCCGCCCACCGCCGTCACAGTCTTCGTCACCGCAGGCGGCGTAACCGTTTTCGTCACTGCCACTGCTGTCACAGTCGCTGTCTTCACACTCTCCCGCACCGATGTCACTGTGACCGCCGCACAGCTCGCACCGCTGCCGTTGCCAGAGCAAGTAGCGTGTGTCTTCTGGTACAAGTTTCCCCTAGCACCAGTTGTCAGTCAGCCAGCCCACCCATAGACAGCCGGGTTACGGTGCACACAAACCTCCAATCCCCACCACACGCCGTCCGTCCATCCCCGCCACACCCAATCCCACACTCCTCACTCCGTGCCGGCCCCAACCCCCCCACTCTTAAACAACTCATTCCCGCAGTAGCACTCCCTGCGCACCTCTTTATCAGCATCCCACACTTTCACCCGCCAGGGAATATAAGAGGAAAACTCACTGCCCATACTCCACCATCGCGTACTCGAACCCATCACACTTGCCCAAGCACTTCTCCACCGTCATCCCATGGTCATCCACAAAGCTCTTTGCGCGCAGCAACCGCCGCGATGAGTCGCTGTAGCAGCCGAGGTGCTTCCAGGCACATGTTCCGGCGTGGGCGGTGGGCGTGGAGTGGTATGCGGCGGCGGAGACGAAGCTGGGGATGAGGGCGCCTATGAGCAGGGCCGCTGTTGAGAGGGGACGCATTTTAACGAGTAACCTTTTCGCTGGTAGGGACCGTGGATAACGAAGTGTAAAAGATCGTCAGTGAAATGCCCTTGGGGGAGGGAAAGTGCAGATTTATATATATATATATATAACACGCCCCTTAACGACTCAGTTCTCTACTAATTATCCAAAGCAGCCTAGCGTCTCCCCACTAGATGTGCGCCACACACAGATTATCCAGGACCCCTGCCAAGCCAACCCGACGATCAGGGAAAACCTTAGCGAGAGCACCCCTGTCAATGAGCAGTTATGCTTGTTTTGTGGAGATGAGCCATGCGACCTCCTGGCCTAGCTCCGGGCACGCCGGGCTCTGAGACATGTAGCCCGGGCCAACTTGCGGTCCGGGTGGAGTGGGTGGCGAATCTACTTCTCGTGCACGTGTGGTGGATCTGGCTGTCGTCGATCGGAAGTGGGTATGCCGAGAGAAATCCCTTCGGCTATGCTGCTGACAGCCAACAACTGCTCGATTCTCGGCCAGGCATATTGTAAGGCAATAGACTATTCGATACTCTTACAAGCGAGGTGGAATACGTTCGCATCAACGATAGGAGAGGCGAGCAAAACTCGATCACTCTGCTCCTATTTATCTCCCCCTTACCAAGAACACCTATCTCCCTTGCGTTCTGGACACCACACTTGTGACATGGCTCGTTCAGGACAGCATACAGATAACTCCAACCCTAGGAACTGAGACAAACTTGCTTTTTTCTATGTACCAGTGTTTGTGGACGACTTTGGACAGCGCAGGCGCCGCGAGACGTTGTTGCAGGCGCCACTGGACCGATGGTGTACTGGGTGTCGGATATAGATACCTAGCCAACGTAGCCTCTCCACACACTTGACACATGGTGCCATACTCACCACCACAGCCTAGCTTCAAGTCTTCCGCACGTAAACACAAGATGGGGATAGAAACCCGCCATTCTAGGTACGTATCCCATCCTAGATATAAGCGAGCTGGCTAGAAAGAGCCAAACGTACCTCGCTCACTTTGAGAGGGGGGCGTATGTCTTGAGCATGTCCAAGTCATACCCGCGGTTGACAGTGAGCAGTGTACTTGGATCCTCTGCAGTCTGTGGGAAGTCAATAGCGGCATCGATCTAAATAATTACTGGTAGGCTAGTTGTGAATCTAGAAGCACCCCCCTTTTATTCTGGAGGTTTTACATAGCACCCGATACGGATACATACATGTATGTACATGTAAGGACGTTGCGACCTCGCTGCTTGCGTGTACAGCTAGAACCACATAACCCAAACGTTGAAGACACATCTGATCTTCTACTTGGCGGCCTTTCTATCTCTACCAAACGTTTCCCATAGTTCTTCATCTTGGCAATACTCCAGGCCCTTGGTACTCCGTATTGGGTCTAGTGCTGCCACATCTTCAGGGTCTGTATTGTGTCTAATGCTGTCGCGCATCACCAGGTAAAGGAGACATTCGGCAGAGAATCCCAGCCCGGAGGAGAAAGTTCTTAAGCAAATTATCCGGGACGTTTTGTCATAGCTCTATACTCGCTTGTAGTGATGATGTGGGGAGGGGATTGTCCTATCTCCTCGATCGACCAGATTGTGGGGAGTTCCGTTTCGAATTTCATCGATTAATCGTGGCCTCTGGCACTGTTCCATGGACACGTAACATCCCAAACCTCCAATCATTGACCAAGGGGGGTCTACCAAGTCTACCCGAACGTAGCCATAGTCCCGCTGACATCAAGCAGCATCGAAGCCTCCGTCCTTTTAGCGGCGATTCTATCACGGGACCGCATCGCTACATTACCGGATATGTCCATCCCCAGCACCACCGACATTGCTTTACGATCAATATGACATATCCTCAAGAAGATACATCATCATAAGCGTAGTCGTCGCTCAAATAATGAAGATGAAACCCACTGTTAGCTAAGGCACCCCTTTAATCATAGACCATCACTCGGTCACAATATCTCACTCGCTTTACACGGTTCGCTTGATCGACTGCACGCCAAGCCATGAAACGACTGGAAGGCCGACAACGTAATTAAACCAACCACTAATATCTCCCGGAAAAGGTCCAAAACCGGGTCACATGTTCGCGCGCGAAGACAGGAGTTGAATCAAGCAGCAGTGAGAAGGAAATTAGCATTAGCATAAAGTTCATACCCAAGAATACCAGCATAAACCTTTCTCTTTCTGATCTGTCGTTATTAGTTATATATAATCTCTATTCTACTGCGTTTAGTTGGACTTAGGTCTTTCGAGTAGCCCAGCAATGTCTGCATGTAGATCGCACTGCACTGAATACTATTAATAAGTAGGTGACGGTTGTTCATTCTTTTAGTTTTGTTTTCTACAATTATGAACGCGCCCTTTTAGTTGGAGAGATGAATAGGGACCTTTGGGAAGACGAAATGTACAGAGGTGACAGCAGTCAATGGCATGCGGTAGATCAGATGTCCATTGAGCGCTTTTGGTGTCGTAGAGTGCGAATTGAAGTGTGTTCCTGACACAAATATCCTCTATATTAGCGGGTAAGTACCTATAGCGGTAGTGAGATGATAAAAATGACTTGGTCATCGAGGTATAGTGCAATGTGCTCTGACGAGATAGTTTGTAGTCTGCGAAGTAAGGTTTAAGGCCGGAATAGTTTTGAAAGGTTCTCAGATGGATCGCAAGGGCTGCAGGTTGGAGTATTCATAGGTGCGCAGAGGTTGTTACGTATCCGGAATGTTGCCTCTCTCCAGATTGCAAATGGTCGAGGACACCGAAGCTCGAAGACAACTGCTGCCTTCAGGAGGGGGTCATCTGGGAGAGGCCATTCGTGGACTTCAATCTTCATCGTATCCGCCCCTTCAACCTTGGCACACTTTCTGCAATATCTATCGTAACGTGTCCAGCCTTCCCTCCAGCGAGTGAAGTAGTCACATCTCATAGTTCGGATGACGGCTAAGGCATTATGATATTCCGCTTCTCCCTCATCAAACTCGACGATCTTGTTTTTCCGAGCGATAGTGGCATCACTGCTAATATTCTTCTCCAGTTGAAGAAGGTCAACACAAGACTGGAAGTACCAGACAGAGAATGTGTGTTTTGTTATATCTTTTGAGAAGACGGAGGGGCTCGTTAGGAGAGCGGCAGAACGGCGTTGTTTGATGTAATTCTCAATAAAAGAGAGTCGTGAGCGTTGTTGACCCTGGGGAAGGAGAAGGACGCAAAGGAAAGATTCGTTCAGTTCGGGTGAATATTTGGAAAGAAGGGGACATGAATCAACTGCTAGCTTATCTAAAACCATCCATAGCTCCATCACTGTCAAGACCATAATTGAATTTCTCTCGGGGTTCCCTTGATACGCAACCCTTGTCACTTCCATATAGTCTTGGATGCCTCCTCCGAGAGCATTACAAGCTTCGGTTAGGTTCCCAATCGCAAATTCACTCAACCACCTATTGAGGCTTTCCATGACCCATCTCTCAAAGTCTGCCAACATAATATCTTAGGTGGCTCCCGCACCTTTAAGACGTGCCATCTCCGGCATCTTCTATACATCCATCATGTCAATCCGTCTTACTTCTCTGGGGGTAAAAGCCTCTCTCTCAGGTCTGCTGCAATTAATATGTCTAAGTCCTTTAACATATTCCCTGCTATTGCGCATCGTGATGACCGTATCCTTCATGAAGCTTGTGCCGGAGGAAAAGTCTGTCCACCATGAACCCCATAAATCTTGCCTAATGGAGCAATGAGTCTGAAGCCATTCATCATTTAGTTGCTTGTAAGTGTTTTCCACGGCCCTCTCGGCATCGATTAGAATAAGATCAGGTATCTGCTGATCCCGCAGTTTATACACCCCTCTCGCCAACTTGGCATTCATGACAAATAACCGATCCGCTTTGACTCCTCTTTGTGTAGAGAGGACCAGAACCTGTGCCATAAAGAAGATCATAAAAAATTTGTAATCATCTTGCCCAAGCACCACCCAAAGTGCAACCCTCACAACAAGCCACAATGAACTTCTTCTCCATGGTAATATTGTCGCGTTGTCCCACAAAACCTCATCGCCAATTCGTTTCATGAACCTTTCCACATCCACTTCCTGTCCAACTCCCCGAAGTATTCCCGTCAGCAGCTCAGAGACAAACATCGGGTGTGTGCTCTCTCGTTCCTCCTGCAACGTCTCTCCCGCTTTCTGGCCCCTTCCGGAGGCAGCACTAATTTGATGACGTTTCATCATCTCTACGAACTTAGAGAGCCGACTCAGGAATGTGGGATCGACGACTGTTTCCCATGCAACAGCAATGGCTGGGCCTGGATAAGAAATAAGAAGTTTTTCTATCGCTTCGGTGACAGCTGAGGAAGTGGGGGAAGCCTCGAATGAGGTGAATATCAGGGAATTTTCGATACGGCGGAGAATAAGCCCAGCATTTTGTGATTTTATGTGAATGCCGATTGCATCTAAATATCCAATATATTAGGCGCTCTATCACCAATGATACCAAAGGGGAAAAGCGTAGCCTAACCTCGATCTTTCAAGACCTTCACTGCCGTTGCGAAAAGATGGGCCGATACAGAAGTGTTATTTTCAAATATGCAAAACTGTTCAACCAGCTTGTTCACCGCTGACCATACCGAGTTCTTGCTAAAATTACGTGCATAGGAATCAGAGCTTTGGTGCAGAAGCTGCAAGAGCGCATTGTCCCCACCGCCGATGTATTCCTCGGTGTTTTGTGGGAGCTGTGGGGGAAGAAAGACGTGGTTGATAACAAATTCCAGAGATTCATGCTCAATCGCAGCTAAGAATCGTTATAAAATGTAATCATTACGTCGGGAGTTATCCCATGCATATGAAGCTAGTGTAATTCAAGCTAGATAAAAAACGAACCTCTGAATTGTAATTGTGCCATAGCTGCCAGAGGGAGAGTTAAATCCGTAGATATGTATATAAGACAAGTAATTCAAAACTATGAAAGAACCTGGACTGGACGGCGTTACTCTTCTGGGTATCTCGCGTTGGGGAAGAGCATTATGATGAAGTGTGTGTTTACAAATCTTTGTGCTAATATTGAGGTTGCGCCAAGACAATAATAGATCGACAATATTTAGGCAACCCCCCTAACTAGAGTTCCAACCATGTTTTTTTTTTTTTTTTTTTTTTATATCATGTAGTTTTAATTGATTCTAGGTACAAAACTCTGCATGCAGTCTTAGACTATGGCATAAAAGATACCTCTCCCCGACTTAGAAAATGGATTCCACAACCCCAGATGAACAAAGGAAAGCAATGAAAAGAAGCAAAACATTAACAATCTGACTGGTTGACTGCAAAGAAAACCGCTTTGGCGGCCCATGTCCGACATAAGAAATCTTCCTGCTGGTTTCAAATAACCTGTTGCCCCTTGAGGGTCTTTTGTGGGTGCGGAGTGCCCTGATTTGGGTTGGGTTTTGCGGTGGCTAGGCGGTGGAGGGAGGCGAGCTGAGGGCACTGGATGTCTCAGATCCGGATAGGAGGGGGGAGATGTGTTCCTTTCTGGGGAAGTTCGTTTTGGTGGCGGTGATGAAGGCTCCTAGAGCTAGCGTGTTGGTGTGGTCATTCCAGATCTCTTCGAGGGTTTTGATTCCTGGGAGGAGTTGGGCGCGTTGGGTTGCTTTTGCTCGGCAGTGGAGGATGGCATGTTCGGTGGTTTCAGAGGCTTCGCCGCATCTGTCACACTTTTCGGAGAGGTGGAGGTTGAGCCAAGATTTGTGGCCTCTGAGGTAGCTTTTTTGGGTTCTCATTTGGTGGATTCGAGTAGCCGTGAATTTGTGTAAGTCCATGAAGAACTCGGGACTTGTGGTGAGGGGGAAGGAGTAGTAGGGGGGAGTTGGGAAGTCGTGTGCCCAATTGTCTAGCATTTGTTGTTTTGCTAGCTTTGGGAGTAGCTTGTGGTCTGTTCCTCTTGTGACTGGGTTCCGGAGGAGGGAGCAGAGGTGTTCGATGGCGAGGTAGGCCACTCCCTTTGTTGCCGTTGAGTTCCACTTTTTGGGTGGGTTGGGGCGGCCACGGAGGAGGCGTGTGTGAGAGGGGACCCTGTCGGGGGTCAGGGTGGGAAGGAGGGGTGGCAGCGCCCTGTCACTGAGTTGTTGAGAGGGTGGGCAAGTAGGACGCGTATGGCGAACTTTGTTTTCAGGTAGTGGATGTAGTTGATGAGTGGGGGGCAGTGTGCCTCGGCCCAGAGGACGCGTTGGTTGGTTGCCCTGAAGCAGCCGGTGGCCCATCTGAGGACTGAGTTCCAGAATTTGTTCATTGCCTTGATGGAGTTGGTGGGTGTTAGGACGGATGCACCGTATGTGAGCATTGGGCGGATGGCGAGTAGGGCGATTTTCCTACAGTTGGATGAGGAGAGGCCTTTGCCGGGAGAAGAGAATCTCTGGAGGATCCCGAAGCTGGCTTGGGCGGAGGCTAGGCGGCGGATGAAGTGGGTGTTTGGGTTGAAATTTGGGGATAGCCAGAATCCGACCCATCTGACTTGATGGCCTGGGTGGAAGATCTGGTTATCGAGGGTGATGGGGAGGGTGCAGGCTGGCGTCTTGTCTTTGGGGGTGCGCCAGTGCATGAGTTCGGTCTTGGGGATTGAGAAGGTGGTGTTCTGGGCGGCCGTGATGGTCGTGATCGCCCTGAAGTGTTCTTCGAGGATGTGGATGTTCTGTTGGTAACTGGGGGAACCCACAGTTATTGCGAAGTCATCAACGTAAGAGAGGGTGAGTCCCGGGGAGGGATCGTGGAGGTGGAGGATGTTCATATATATGACAAAGAGTAGAGGTGATATGGGGGAGCCTTGAGGAACTCCGACTTGGACAGGGGTTGGGATTCTTGGAGAGCCTTTGTAGAGGAGGGTGATGTGCCTGTCTGAGAGAAACGAGAGGACCCAGTTAATGATGTAGGGGGGGGTGGCTTTGGCTGCGAGGGTGGAGGCAAGGGTATGTTTGACGACATTATCGAAGCCTCCCTTGATGTCGAGGAAGAGGGTGGAGACTTTTAGTTTGGCATGTTGCATGGCTTTGGTCTCGTGGAGGAGCGTGGTGACTGCATCGGCTGTGGAGAGGCCGGCTACTGATCCGCATTGGTGGGGGTGGATGAGACCTACCGCCTTGGCAATGGATGCGAGGCGAAGGGTGACGATCTTCTCGAGTATTTTGGAGAAGGTTTGGAGGAGGACGATTATTCTGTAGGAGGTGGGGAGGGAGTAGTCGGCTTTGTTCGGTTTTTGCCAGGATAACTCCGTTTGCTTTTTTGAGGGAGAGGGGGTGATAGCCGCTTTTTAGGAGAGGGTTGAGGAGCGCAGGGATGATTTTTGGGTTGGCCTTATGGACTCCCTTCCATACTGAGTAAGGGATGGTGTCTGGGCCAGGGGCTGAGAGGTTTGAGGTGGGGAGGAGGGTGGTCCTTACTTCCTCGGGGGTGATGTCTGGGACATGGGCGAAGTTAAGAGGGGGGGGAGAGCCGGTGTCAGGTCTAGGCGGAAAAAATGCTTTGACAAGATTCTGGTTCAGTGATGCGGGGGTGGGGGAGTTTGGGAGGGATGGGACTCTGTCTTCTGATCTTGTTGCCATCTTCTTAAGTTTCCAGACGTCGCTGGTGGCTGCGTTGGACACGAAGGCGTTCCAGTGAGTGCGTTTCGCGTTTTTGATCGCGTTGAAGTAGGCATTTTTTGCCGCTTTGACTTCGAAGGGGGGGCTGAGGCCTCTCCTGAAGTCGCGGTGGACGGAGTGGTAGATTGTGCGGAGTTGGGATATGTTAGGGTTCCACCACGGTTTCGACCATTTGGTGATTGTTCTGGAGGGGGTGTGGTTCTTCAGTGTATCTGTGAGTTTTTGTAGTGATTGTTCAAACCAGGTATCGAGGTTTGTCGAGGGGTCGGGGTTTGGGACTGTGAGGTTTTGGAGCGTGGGTTGGAGGCTTGGCCAGTCTGTAAGTTTCCAGTTGGGGCCAATGATGGGGGTGAAGTCGGTGTTAGGGAGGGCGAGAGTGATGGTGATGGTCCTGTGGTCGGAGCCGGTGGCTTCGGGGAGGGGTTGCCATTTGCTGAATAGGGGGAGGGCTCTTGCATTTGCAAAGGCGAGGTCGATTACTCCATGCCTTTTTCTGGGGTCTGGGGAGTGACGGGTATAGGTGCCTGGGTAGTTCAGGAGTGAGAAGTTGTTGGTTGTGGCAGAGTGGGTGTACGGCCCTGAGAGGCGAAGTTCCCCATCGGAGAAGTTCCTCATGGGGTCTGCTGCAGGGGAGTGGATGTTGAAATCTCCTACTACGATGAGGGGATTGGGGGTGTGGGTGAAGATTTCGGATGGGGTGATCGATATTGAGGAGTTGGACAACTGTCTGTTATAGATGTTGGTTATCGTGAGGGTGGAGTGGGAGTTTTGGGAGGTTGGGAGGAATAAGTTGATTGAAATGAGGTCTCCTCTGTGAGAGGGAGATGCTGTTGCTGAGTTGCGCTCGAGGAGGTGGTTGGCGACGTAGATGCAGGTGGATATTTTATCCTCAGCGCTGGTAGGGGAGGGGGAGTATAGTGTGAATGTGGGGGCGTTGAGGGGTTTTCCTTTGAGTAGGGGGGGTTCTTGGATCGCGATGACGTGGGCCTTCGAGACTGTGAGGGAGGAGAAGAGGGATATGAAGACATTGTTGCTCCCAGCGCAATTATGTTGTATGATGCGTAGAAATGGTGTCGGGGGACTGTTAAGGTCTCCTAACATTTAGGCGTTGTTGAGGTCCATCTCCGTCACCGAGGTCTGGGGAATCTCAGTGACTTCTTCGTCGGGGTGAGTGGATGGGGAGCTGATCGGGGCAAAGATGCGGCCTCCGTCTCTCATGCCGTTATTGGCCGAGTCTTGTCTCTGGAGGGCGAGTTTGTGCGGGCAGGAGGATACGAAGGCTGGGTGAGGGCCTCCGCAGTTAGAGCATTTAGACTGTGAGACATCGCAGCAATCCATTGTTGATAGGTTATATCCTTGGCAGCTGGGGACGGGGCAGCGGTGTTCTGCTTTGGTGTGGGAGAGAGTGCAGTAGGGGCAGGTCGGGAGTTCCTGTTTGCATCCTTTGATGACGTGGCCAAACTTGTAGCAGTGGGAGCATTGGGTTCCTGCTGAGGCTGACCACATGATGGCGCATCGGCGGGGGCGGGAGAAGAGGCGTATGGTTGTACCGATGACGCCGGCTTCGGAGCGGGAGACACTGATAACGATGGTGGAGGAGGTTTTGGCGTTGCGGGATGTATCATCAGCGACGAGGAATCTGCACGATGAGGGGGTGAGTTCCAACCATGTACCACCTCGTTTTATATTAGATCAAGCAAGGATTATGATTGGCTACTAAACCCATTGCTGCAGAGTTCCCTTTCACGGTCAGTCCAAATAGGAATATAAAAATAACCGTGCCGTGTTGAACCCACAAAATGTTTATTCTACTAGTAGTCTAGTATTAAGTAACTTATCGCACATTGGAGACCCACAACCTTAATGCGGGGATAAACATAAGCCACATTCAGCACAGAATAGACACTGAATACGGTTAGTTTTGTATTTGAATCTCGACTAGCCATGTAGGGATACCGACAAGAGGATATATTTGCGAATATGTATAGTTGTAAGCCAGTCGTGATAATCAGACGCGGCGTCGCAATCGCCCGCCCCATCACCCGTCTCATCACGACTACCACCACAGCAACCCCAATGGATCCTTTTGAGAGCTGGTTTCATGTATCGATTGGTAGCGTCGTTGGGTGTCGAAGAGTTGGATTAGTCAGGATATTTCTATTGTTTTCTAGGGGATTCTATTCGGTTGTGTGGTGTGAGTCATTTGGGATTTGTCAGCGTGGGATTTCTTTGGGTATATTAAGGGGGCTCTCCCTAGCTCTGTTCATGTTCTTTT